AGTTTGATTGGATTAATAATCTTGCAGGCTCATGAACAACTCAGAGCTGTTCTCCTGACTTTGCTAGAAGAATTGCCATCTGACTTACCTATCTTACTACTCGGGACATCCTCAGTTGCACTTGCTGAAGTAGAGGAAGTCCCTCCTTCAGTTTTCCCTCATCGCTCAGTGTACGTTTGATCTAATTTACAGCAAATATTTGATACGAGTTCCAAGCTAATGTTTATTTTTCTTTATACCAGCACTCTGGCTTTATGCAATTTTTTTTTTTCTAGATTTGGGGTTTTTTGTATGTTGGAAATTAGTAGTGGAGTTCAACACGAAGATTTTTTTCCTTAACAGAAAAAGTCTTAAGTTTGCTTATGTAGAGCGACTGTTTTTCATTGTCAAAGTTACCCTTTGTAATTTTTCTCAAAATCATAATTTATTGAAGGATAGATCAGTGGTCTACATCACATTACTTTTCATACATCTCTACTACTATTAGTTAAATGTATTTTGGATAATTGAACGAGAGGTAAAAATCTCAGCATTGCAAATGCTAATGCTTCCTATCAGTATTAAGTGCCCTTTCTTTTTACCAAAGTTTCTATTGTTGCTTATTCTTACAAGTATTTGAATAACTGTAGTTCAAAGGCTAAGGCTGAAAATTTCTAAGAATGTTAGTTGAGTATTCTTATTCAAATCTGAAAAGTATTCCTCACGCCTGGGCTCTTGTCTGGTTATATGCTCACCCTCTATTTCCCTTTTGAACAGTTATCAAGTGAGCATGCCATCTACGAAAGATAGGACTTTGTTTTTCAATCATTTAATAGAAGCTGCTATGTCAGTATTGTTGGAGGGAATCAGCAAGAAATCCCAGGATACAGGATGCCTTCCTGAACTTCCCAAGGCACCAAAATTGGCTAGTGGTCCGAAGGTATCTGAGCTAAAAGCAAAGGTGGAAGCAGAGCAACATGCACTTCGGAGATTGCGAATGTGCCTTAGAGATGTTTGCAATTGGTATGTCAACCTATGCTTAATTTACAATTGTTGGCTTCGCTTGGCACATTGATACTGTTAGAAATATAATATAAAATCATTTATGTGTCTTCATCTAATAGCTTAAGTTTTTGGGAGAGTTGGCTATTGACATGGTATTAGAGCCTCTATGATCAAATGATTTAGAGTTCAATCCTTGCTGTCTCATTTTACTTATAAATATTGTTAAATTTCTTAGCACAAGATAGGTGGATATGTGTGTTGTCCATCTTCAAGCTCAAAGGACTGTTGCGTGATGGGACATGTTAGAAATATAATATAAAATCATTCATGTGTTTTCACCTAATAAAAGCTTTTGGAAGAGTTGGTTCTTGACATACACCTTTAATTAAATGCATGCAGCCTCTCTCTCCCCCCTCTCAATATATTTTTTGTTTCCCTTTTGCAGGATATTGTATGACAAGCGATTTAATGCCTTCCATTTTCCAATCTCAGATGAAGACGCACCTAATTATCGCTCAATCATACAGAACCCAATGGACGTGGCTACCATCCTGCAGCATGTTGACAACGGGCATTATATTTCATGTGTTGCGTTCCTGCAGGACATTGATCTTATTGTTTCCAATGCAAAGGCATGCATCCTGCGCCTTAAGTTTTTTAAATTTTGCTTGGGTTGGGTCCTATATATGTATAGATGATCGTTCTGTAACCAAGTACAATTAGGGCTGAGCTAAATTGGTTGAAAATGCTTCATATTACTTTTAATATTTAAAGCATGTCGCAAGTTTGATCCTTCTTTCCACAACTCAGGCTTACAATGGAGAGGACTACAATGGCACCAGGATTGTCAGTAGAGCTTGTGAGCTTCGCGATGCGGTGTGTGGACTTTCTTTTGTCTTAAGGTTTACGTTGGTGTTTTTTATGATTATTGTCTGGAAATTGCTCCTGATCTTATTCCTTGTTTTTTTTTTCAGGTGCATGGGATGCTTTCACAGATGGATCCAGCACTAGTTGCATACTGTGACAAGATTGCTAGCCAAGGTGGCCCACTTCATCTTCCTGATGAATTAGGGTATTCTACCTTCCCTGCTACTCCTGTTGTACAGCTGGGTACTGCTACTAGAACGAGTGCTCGACTTCGCCATGTCCAACCTGAGGTTAATATGGACCAGAGTTATGACGTATTGAAGCGGAATAAGAAGATCACGGATGTTGTGCATGCAGGTATAAAATGCCTTTGCAGTATGAATTATTTCTCAAATGTATGACGGTTGTAATACAAATGGTTTCTTTAAATGTCATTTATACATACTAGTATTGCTGTTTTGCTATCGTGATTCTGAAACATTAGGAAGTTATACTAATTAAGAAAAGCAATAACGAAGATGGAAGTGTGAATATTTTGACCAGAACCGTTCTTTTGGTCTTAAGCATGGGTGAGGCATGATAGTGTTGACTTAGAGAGGCATCTTTAAGAATTGTGGATTCTCTCTATACTTCTTCAAGTTGTTGCTTGTCATGCACTTGTTTTTATATGATTGATTATGCTTATAAACAAAATGATATTGGTGTTACTTGATTTCCAATGATTAATTTCTTGTTCACTTTTTTCATTCTTCCTGTAAACTTCCTGTTAAAATGCTGATTTTGAAGTTTTTTTTTTTTTTTTTTTTCTCAATTGGGTTTTATAGCAGAAGACAAGTCACAAGATTCTGTACCATCAAAGTCTTCCCAGGAGCATCACGCAAATGACGTAAATTCTGAAAGGCTGGACCCAATGTCAATTGATGCAAATGTGCAGGGAACTTGTACAAATAGCCTTGCTGATAGCAGCAGTTTTGATGATGTCGCAATGCTAGATGGTGACTTTTCAATACAAGAGGAGTCTGTCAAGCAGCTTTTTGTCAAGCAGCTTTTTGTCAAGCGTATTGAAAATTACAGCATTCCACAACTTGAAAGGCTTTACACGAGAATTATGAAGGGCGTTTTTGAAACCAAAGATAAAGTAACGAATGATGATATCAAGACTTCGGTTTGGGTGTTTTTATTGAATTTTGTAGAGGATGATGCAAATTTCTGACTAATCGGTTTTCCCTTTCTCCCTTGATGATTTAGATAAAGAAAAGATTTTTACTGTATAGTCGGGATTTTTTAATTTCAATGTTATTTTTTTTTTTTTTGTAAATAATTTCAATGTTATTTACAAGATTCGGGAAGATTGTATAGTGGACAGAAGATTGTAATTACAGGATTTTAGGATTAGATGTCTCTGCAGACTTGCGAAAGCCTAGAGCTTGAAAATGTTAGCCAGAGTGAGCTAACTTTTTTTATTGCTCTCAACTACTAACTACCATGTCCTACTGTAAAGTAAATATTTTTATGTTCACTAGCATATCGCTCATTTTTTTAAATGCCAATTATTCCATTTATTTCAAAATAATTATAACTTCCAGAGGTTCTAATTTGGGAAAAGTGAAATGAAAAAGCATTAATAGAGTAAGAAGGTAATATAAATAAAATTATTTAATAAGTATTTTAATTTGTCAAATATTAAACGACAATTTATTTGACCAAAAAAAAAAACGAAAGAATTCGAAGGTTTTATTGTAATCATTTAAATAAAATTCTACTTTTTATCACTGACACGAATGATGCCGCTCATAAATAAGGAATGAGTGACAGTGGTGTGGATTCTTTGGTGGTGTAATTGTTAAATTTTATAATCTTAAAACTACACAAATAAGATTTATTCTGCATTCATTGATATTAATTTAGTACTCATTTTTTGTCTTCGTTTTTCATATTGAAAAACGAATAAGAATGAGAGGTGTTAAGCTTTTTTTTTAATCTAGTACTCATTTTTTTTCTTGGATAGAATATAATGCTTATCAAGAATTTTATTTGTCAATAATAGTATATAGACATTTACTACAAAATCAATATGTAATGAATATTCGAGAACTTCCTATATATAGATGCAATTTTTTTTCTTGGGTTCCGGTAGTAACTCCTTTTATTCACTTGCATTCATCAGTAACAAAATTCTAAATTTGAATTGAATAATGACACTGTATACCGTTAGATTACAATCTCTTCCAATGATAAAGATTTATGGTATAAAATTAACCTTTTTACACCATCCTCTCTCCCACTCCCCTCATCCTTTCTCCTTCCTCCCCTCAAGCCGCCGCAATCATCAAATACTGAAATGGTTTTGTGATTTTACTACACCGAAGCACTTTATGCTCATCTATCCAATAACAATGGATGATGATTGGTAAATTCAATTATGCGGTACGAATCAAATAACAATATCACATCATTTTATTCATTTCCGTATTGGTAAATTCAATTATAAATAGTTTACTTCTTTGCTTTTTATGCTCATCTATCCAATAACAATGGATGATGATTGGTAAATTCAATTATGCAGTACGAATCAAATAACAAAGAAAATAGTTCAAAAGTTATAGCAAGTTTAATGGCTATAATTAACATGGTTAATAATCTCTTGAAATTTCTATTTTTTTAACTATATTTTAATTGTAAGATACCATAGTATACTTGGTCATGCTTGCATATAAAGCTACATTGAATGAGCTTAATCAGCCATTATTTAATAATGCAATTATTATTCAGTTACACTATTTTGAAAAATCTTATTTTATTTACATATTTGTAACTTCATCGTGTGATACTATGTTTTTAAAGCCCGAGAATTAATAAGCTGATATTAATTCTAGCAAAGATTACTCTGAGGGTTACATTTTGAACTGAAATCTATTTGGGTAGATGTATCCAAACTAATCCCAGCCAATGAAATTAATTTAGTTTGAATTATCGAGTCATCGAGGTAATCCTATCCAGCAAATACCCCTAATACTTTGAATAACTGCTTGGTGTCTATTGTAACGTAATATATGAAATCATATACTAAACATAATAAATTATATTGCATTGCATATAAGTGTATCTAAAATTAACTGTACATAATGGAATATCCTCACATTCCTGCCAAGATGATTGTCGTTTATAATGAACATGTTAACTCACAAAGTACAATGATCTTTTAGAACTTGCCTAGCAAGATCAAGAGCTCCACTCCTTTTATAGATTAAATGCAAATTGTAAGCCGCCTCTCTGCGAAGGTCGCAGTAACCAGGTTTATGATTTTCCATGATATCTGGATTCTCATTGGGAAGTTTTGGAATTGGATAGTCTCTCTCACGAATAGCAATCACCTTCTCATAATATAAAGCCGCCAGAGTTACTAGACCAACATGATGGCATGCCCTAGCAATATTGTACAATGATTCCTGCAAAGCTTAACAATTGCTTACTTAAGTCTCACCTTATCAACATAAAATGTAAGAAATTCATGGCATTGTAGTTTTATACATAAGAAGTTACACCAGTTATTTCAGTGTTTGTTTCTTCATATTTCATTGAAAGTGACCCGATGAATTCAAGGATCCATAATATGGAAATTTCAGCAGATTGACATTCTAAGCAAATCTGAGTTCAAACAATCATGACAGGTGATTGATCAACATAGTTAGAAAGTAAAAACCGACCTAAATCATGACCAATTTTTCTCATAGGAGATATTAAATATTTTAAGCTGTAGTCATTTTAATTATGATTCTTGTGACATTAAACTCAGACATATAAAGCAAAGCACGAGACAAAAATGCTATTGTTGGGTGTTAGACTACTGATGCCAGTGCTGCCAACATGTCTTTTACGCTCATTAAAATTTCCTGAGAGTTCTGTTTGGATGAATGACGAATAATTATTAGGACAGGAAAAAGAAAGTAGAGACTGTGAATAAGAGGATACAAACAAGAAACTTGCATTATGCCTTCCTACACAAACTCCAACCTATCCAAAATGTCAAAAACCACTCATAACGTTCATTCCTTTCTTTTCCACCCAAAGTTAGCACCTGAAAGATTTCTTATTTGTCTTTTGGCAAAAGCATCTAATTTACAGATCAAAAATTGAAATTCAAATTGGAAATTAGGATTAAACCAAAATTAATAAGCAGGTTCGTTCATGTTTCTGCATTTTGAAAGCAATAAATTATTATATCTTCTAAGCACATGAAGTATTTCGACACATCTTTTGGTAAAAAAGACTGCCTAAAAGTACTTTACTGGGTCAAAAATTGAAAAGGGAGTGATCTCGGAAATCACCATGCTGGGATGCACATTTTACAGTAACTGGGCTGGCCTAAGGTTTAATTAAGCTAATTAAAAGGGTTGGTGTAAATTCTGGCTAGACCCTACATTAATGTAAACAAGACTTTACCATTTCTTTTGTTTTAGGGACGAAAAAACAGACAAAAAGTTAAAAACAACTAAGATTTAATAAATGATTAGTTTTAAGAGAAAAGCAAGAAAAATATAATACTAGAGATTATAATGACCCTAACTGGTAAATCTTAGTTAGAGATTTAATTTAAGGATTTAAATGCCATAATTAGATTCAGTGAGCGATTTCGAGTATTTTGACTGTAATCATGACTATGTTATGAACAGTGCGTTCTGCCGGAGAATTTACAGTTTTATGAATTAACCGGTAGAGCTTAAATGAGCAAAATAATTTTAGGAACATAATTTAAAAATTCTGACGACAAATATGAGTTTAGAACGAAAAATTGTATAGTCTGGCACTTTCCGTGAAAAATCTCGTGAATAGTGTTTCTACCGGGTATTTTGTACTGCTGTTTAAGCAACCGGTAGAGCCCAGAAACAAATAATTGATGAAATAAGAATAAGAAAGTCCAATATATGCCAAGCAAGTCAATATAGGCCCAAGAAAATGATAAGTTTATAAGTTTAAGTTTCATAAGTAAATGAAGTACAATTAGTGATTCACAGTGCATTTCGTCAAAAACGGTGCAAAAATCATACTGCGAATTATGAATATTGTTTTGTAAGAATTAAAAAGTAATATAAATGATTTTAGAAAAATAAAAATATATTTGTAGCTTTGAGTTAGTTCCGGGTTAGTTTAAGTGAAAATACACGAAAGAAAAATACCCGGGTAAAAGGCCACATGTGCTCACCTTCTTAAGTCACTTAAGTCTCATTTCCAAATCAGTTTCTCTCTCCTCTCCTCACTCTCAAAACCGAGCTGCAGCCATGGGGGAAGGGTTTGAGGTTGTCTTCTTCCTTCTTTGATTTCTCCATGGTTAAGCCACCAAATCTTGCACCCAATATACCAATCTCATAGGAAATCGTCCAAGGAAGCTATTCCACCCCTCCATTTGAGCTGATTTCGTTTGTGGAGGGAGATATTCATCACTCCATTTTCGGATTACTATTCATCCAAGGTGAAAAAGGGGGTTTTTGGTGGAGTCTTGCTTGTTGGTCACCTTCTAGACCTTGTATAAGCTTTTGGAGGTAATGAACCTCTATTTCCATGGTATTATTTTGATGATTTGAGTTATAAAAGTTATGAGTATGTTTTGGTAGGAAAGCATTGTGTATTAAACTTTGATTTAATGATGAATCTTTGATGTCTTGGATGTAAGAAATGAAAATAAGCATTTGTATGTATGTAAAAAAATTAGAAAAAAATCCTATGATTTCCTCTACATGTTCGGCCATCATAGGTGAAGAATAGGTTGTTGTGCAAAAATTTTATCTTAAGTATTAGGAAGGTTTAATGTGTAGGAATTAAGTGGAAATTTGATAAATTAGTGAGAATGCCAAAGTGGGAAAAATTATATGAAATATGCCCTTAGGTTTAGGCCTTGTGGGGCTTTGGAGGGACTTTATGCTCCAAAAATTAAGTTGGAACCTTATGAAAACATGTATTTGTATGTGTAAGTTACGTGTAAGTGAAGAAAAAGAACCTTTGTCTATGTCCTTGTAGTGTTCGACCTAGAGGGTGGTATAGGAGTATATTTTGCTACATTTTATTGTAAATAAAATGTGTTGTAATTCATTGTATAAAATTGATGAGTTAAGAAGTGAAATGACTCGAAAAATGGTTGAAAAATACTTTGATTTCCTAAGGGTATGTCCGCGGCGTTTGAAGTAAAATGGCATGAATGATATTGAAAATTCTCAAGTGAATACTTGATTAAAATTAAAGAATGCTAACTAGTATAAGGTGGTCTAGACTTGTGTATTGGCATAACATTGGCAAAAGTATAAAGAAAGGAAAATAAGCGATAAAATGTATGCTTATGAAATAATCATGGCATAGTATCATTTTATTGATGCATTGTAAATTATTCTCTAGGTGTGCCTAGGGATTGAGAAGGATCGGAAATCTCTTGAAGCGATAAAAGTAACTTGGTCCACAAGTAAGCGTATTGGTAAAGCTTCAAGAGGTAAGCTCTATGTTTAAGGAGTCTTTTCCTGCTTGAGTGCTCCACCATGGTTAGTGAACTGTGGTTGGACTGTATGACTGTGATTTAGATGCTTTGTATAGAAGCATTCATATAGAGTTATTTGATAATATGATATGTTTTGCTCTGATATGACTTCTGTAATATGATTTCTGTAACAATCTCTGGCCATTGATTGTATAGTACCCGGACGTCCGCTTTGGGGTCCTCCCTCGGGACTGATGGTGTACGCCTCTGATATGTCTGGTTCCGCTTTGGGGTCCTCCCTCGGGAACACGTGCGTTGATTTCCGCTTGGGGTCCTCCCTTGGGAATGACGGCGCACATCTCTGATATGATATGGATATATGCTCTGTTTTGTTGTGATATCTGTTATATGTTGTATTCGTATACTTTGTATCTGACTTTCATGCAGGAGTGACCCAGAGGTATGGAGAATTCTCTATAAACCTGGAGCTTATTGAGATTTGTAATCTCACCCCTCTTTGGGGACACATTTTCAGGTGCCCAGATTCCCGGTGAGTCCTCACTAGGCAGGGACACGACACGTGGCTGAGGCAGTTGACAGATCGGATTTTGAGTGGCTGTAGGCTACTACCTTTTTGGAGTGTTTGATGTATTTTAGTATTTTCGCATTTGATGGATCATGATATTGATCCTTTATTTTGTATATGGCCTGTATATGTTTTGTACACGTATGTCGCTTTGATGCATGTACATTTGGGTATTCAGGCACGTTATGTGATGAGGTAGTATTCAGATATGTTTACGTGTTGGATTGCATGCTGTTAGATATAGTGGCACTGAGCCAAGTTATGCATGCGCCTATGGATGGGCATTTGATTATATTTGTATAAACTGTTTATCAGGAAATGCTTCTGTGTGGGATTGGAAAATCCCCAGTTGTTCGATTTATAGAGGAAACTCTGCCCGATTTTCGTTTACGACGAATGAGAATTTAAAAAGAAAAAGAAAAAAAAAGTTAGCTCGTATTTTCAGAAGTTAAGTCTTCCGCTGTTTTCTGTTTTATCATATGTATGTTAATTGAACCGGCTCGAGACGGGGATGTTACAGAGATGCTTATCCAAGGCATAGTGATGCACTTACAGTTGGCCCATTGCACATGGCCCAACTATTGATTCAAGAAGCTCGTAGTCAACCAGAATTGTGGCTCAATAAGTATGGCTCAATTGTTAAAAGAAGCAGTAATTTGAAATATAACAAATTACAATCAAATCCAAGTCCAAAAGATATGATTGCGATTTGTTTGACAAGAAAAAGAAAGCAACACATTTGGCATGATTTTAAATTTAAGATTTGGACGTATTTTGAATGATTTAATTGTAATTATTTATTTATTTTTAGATGTTAATTACTGTTATATTTATTTTAGGAAGTTTTATTATTTTTAGGATTTTAGATTTTGAATTTTGGATCAATTTGTAATTAGTCTATAAAAGGGTGCTTAAGGCCCTTATTCTAGGAGTTGAATTTTGTTATTTTGTTAATAGAAATTGAGAACCAGAGGATTACTCTTTTACAAAATTCCAACTTTCTATTTAGCCACATTTCTCTATGTGTAACAGCCCCAAACCCTGTAGCAGAATATTGTCCGCTTTGCCCCGCGCACAAGCACCGTCGAGCTCACGGTTTTACGTTTCGGGTTACCCCCAAAAGGCCTCCTACAAGGAAAGGTATCCACACCCTTATTTAAGGCATGCTTCGTTCCCCTCTCCAACCGATGTGGGACATTACATCCTCCCCCACTGGGAATACAGCGTCCCCGCTGTACACACCGGTCCAGGGCCAGGCTCTGATACCAAATGTAACAGCCCCAAACCTTGTAGCAGGATATTGTCCGCTTTGCCCCGCGCACAAGCACCGTCGAGCTCACGGTTTTACGTTTCGGGTTACCCCCAAAAGGCCTCCTACAAGGAAAGGTATCCACACCCTTATTTAAGACATACTTCGTTCCCCTCTCCAACCGATGTGGGACATTACACTATGCGCTTTTGGCATTACATAGACTCTAGATCACCAGTGTCCAGGCTGAGGTAGCAGTAGCATTTTTTGAATGATGTCAGATTTAATTGTGCAAGCTAGCTTTCTAATTTGTACACAACAACGTGATAATTATGTCTGCATAATTTTGCGCTGGATAAGAACTAGTTCAATGTGTAAATAAACCTAGATAGTCCAATACATAAATAAAGCTGATATCTTCCTTTTTCTTATTTCCATTTTTATTATTAATTAAAAAAAATTCTTCTTAAAAAGGTAGAAGGAAATTCATGAAATGGTTAGGAAAACAAACCTGGCTGTTCTCACAGATCCTCAAATTATTGTAAAGGAATGCTAAACCTTGTACGACACACTGATGCTTATTTTGAAGTCTGAAACCCAATGCTAAGTTGATCAAGGCAGTTCCTGAGAAACATTGATGAATAACAGTTCAATTACTGCTTGTTCTTTGCTAAGAAAGCACCACACATACAGCACGAAATGAAGAACATACCAACACAAAGATTAACCAAGGGATTCTCGGGCAAAAGTTTATAAGCTTCAAGGTATTTCCTTGCCGCATCTTGATGATGGCTAAATAAAGTAAACTGATGTGCAGAAATGAGGATAGGAGGCACGCAATCCACAAATTTTCCTTGCATAGAACGTACAAATTTGTAATGTCTTGTATCTCGGTTTTCCAATCTATGCAATAGAAGAAAACAAGTAAAGGAAATTTTAGTAAAACTAGGTCCTACTTTTTCTTTAGGCCATAAATCTATGTCCTACTGTCACAGCAAATTAGGGAGCCTAACTAATGCTTTGCCAAGAACCCAGGCTTCCTTGCAACTAAAAATTTACCTTGACATAACCTTGTAGTAGCAATTCCAAGCTGCAACACTGTGTGGATGTTGCTGTACAATGTATTTTACACAATCAAATCCATGCTTAGGATCTGTGGTATTGTATGCCATTTCTGTGGAGAAAATAAATTTGCTTTATCAGCAAAAGAGGAATTCCAGCTCCCCCCTCCCCCCGAACAACAAATTAATTTTATTTCTCTTTAAAAGAAATTCATTTTGTGAGTTGTAATAACAGAAATATCTAAAGCCATGGAAGGGGAAAGAAAGAAACAAATAAACAAGCAGTAAAATTTTTCGTTCATTTTTTATTTTGATTTCTGGGAATGAGAGAAAAGTTGGAAGCAAAGAATCAATTTGAAGGAAGTATAAGCCTGTCAGGTTTCTTGACTTACGAGCTCCAAGAGATCGAAGCTCCTCTTTCTTCTCAGCAGATAGAGTAGTATGGGCCAATCTTAAAGTGAGATTAATAATCTCCAGTGCTTCCCAATACCTTTGCAAGGATGCTAATGCTTTGCATAACTGTACAACAATATTAAGGGGTCAGATAAAACAAGGAAACGGAACGCAGAAAAAAGAGAGAGAAGTACTAACATCAACGATTAGCTGGTGATGTTCTTCATCTTTGAGAAGATTACACAGGGGAGGTTCTTTGTTCACATCCTGAAAACATCCAATGCAACAATATACACAACAGGTAGTTAAAACATTATCACCAAGACATTTGTTCTAGAAGTGAGAGTAGACAACACCAAACAGATTACCTGAGGCTCAATATCTGAATCATCACTTAGCCAGTCAATTCCAGATGCTAGTGCCTCAGCTTTTTTTCTCTCCTTCTGAATTGCCTTCTTCTGGAGCAACCTTTTTGCCCTAGAAGCTTTCAACCTAATTTTATAAAACAAGAAAAATTATTTTCATTTTGTAACCAAATCTAGTAAGGGCCAAAAGCATGCAAGAACATGGATATATATTGACAATTATTGATTATTCACCCTAAAATTTTTGCTGTGTTATCTACAAAGGTTTGAAAGGTAATAGCGCCCATCGATCTACGAAGCACAGATACCACGCATGATGTGTACCATACGGATATTGGTACCCGAATACTATGATTTTTAAAACATAGAATCCAGGAAACAACCTCTTTGCAATTATGTAAGGGTAAGGTTGCGTACAAGGATCTTGGTAAGCTTCGCTAGGAGTAATCAAGTTAGGATTCACCAGTTAAAACAATATTTGTTCAGTTAATTTTAAACAAAGGATCTTGGTAAGCTTCGTTATTTCTTAGGGATTGAGGTGGCACGGTCTAGACAGGGCATTTCTATCTGTCAAAGGAAATATGCCTTAGATATCTTAGAGGAAATTGGTATGTTGAGGTGTAAGTCAGTTGATACACCCATGGATCCTACTATAAAATTATTGCCCGGACAGGGGGAGCCATTATCTGATCCTGGACGTTACCGGAGGTTGATTGGGAAGCTCAATTATCTCACTGTGACTAGGCCTTTGTTGTTAGTGTGGCTAGTTAGTTACTTGACTCCCTTTGTGATTCTCATTGGGATGCTGCTGTGAGGATCCTCTGGTACATCAAAAGAGCACCAGGGAAAGGCTTATTATATTCAGATCAGGGAAATATAGAAATTTGTGGTTATTCAGATATCGATTGGGCATGATCACCCTCGAATAAGCGCTCTACTTCAGGCTATTTTTTCTTTTTGAGGAGACCTGAAGATGCTACCTGCGAGCTATTGTCGCTTGATCTAGTGCAGAGGCTGATCTTTGAAGATGAAATATAGAAATTTTTTTGGAGGAAAAGTAAGAAACAAACTATTGTCGCCCGATCTAGTGCAGAGGCCGAGTATCGTGCAATAGGAGATGCTACCTGCGAGCTAATCTGGTTAAAGCAGTTGATTTGGGAGCTCCATCTTTGTGAACATAAACAGCCCATGACACTCATTTGTGACAATAAAGTTGAGCTACATATATCATCTAATCCTGTATTTCATTAGAGAACCAAATATATAGAGATCGATATCACTTCATTGAAGACAAGATTCAGTCGGGAGAAATCAAAACGGCATTTGTCAACTCCAATGATCAACTCGCAGACGTCTTCCCCAAAGCCCTTAGAAGTCCATGGGTTGAATCCATTTGTAACAAGCTGGGGTGTTTACAATATATACACACCAACTTGAGGGGGAGTGTTAGAGTAGTTGTTAGAATAGTTCAAGTGTATATAATAGAATAGTCCCACATCTTGTATATGATAGATTAGGTTTTGTATTAATATAAATATATTCCCTATGTGCTCGTATTAGACACACAATTATCCAATCTTAAGTAATAAAAAGCACAAAATGCAGGACCCCACGATCGGTTTATTTTACCCATGAACATAAATTCACTGAAAATACATTGGAAAGCCCTAAATCTTTCGAGTTGTGATTGCTTCTCTCAGTTTTTTGTCTTGCAATTTCTTCATATGCGATTGCTGGCTTCTGTGTTTGAGACAAGGTCTCATTCTCTGCTTTGGTGGTTTGCATGCGTGGCTGCGACCAGGTGATTGAAGCATTCTGGTAAGGAAGGTTTCTTTTAAAGTGGAGGGGAACTAACGGGTTAAATGTGGGGTTACTGATTAGACTATTGTAGATGAATGTTTTTCACACGCAAGTAGATGTTTCTGTTAAAGTGGATGTTACTGTCTAAGCATTGTTTGGTGGTTGGGTTACTGTTAAAGTGGATATTTCTATTACTGTTCACAATACGTCAATACCATTAGCGCAAGAGCAAGTGTTGTAGCAAGGTTTAGGCTATTGGGTTAAATGCTTTTCACTCACCATTTGATTTGATTTTAAAAATACTATCATTTAGGAGTTTTTGTAATACAGGTTTCTATAATATGTGAAGGGATTTGATCGCTGCATTAGGGGATAGTTCACATTTTTTTAAGAAAATGCTTTCTTCTATATTATGAGTTGAGTCCAATGATTTTTACATTATTTTTATGAATTTAACTTGACATAACATAAGTTATTTTATATGCATATTTATGGTTGAATATAATTTTATATCTTAGGTGGTAGGATCTTACGATAAGTGTTGATCCCATGACTTAGGATTATATCACCCCCTCCCGATCCTGAGTAGGATCTCATTCTTGACAACCTTGTATATGAGTCCATCAGCTCCTTGACCTAGCCTAGAATCTAAGAAACCATCTGTCGAAATGCAGATGCAAGAACCAAATCCATCTAAGGGATAGAAGCCGTCTATCCTTTTCATATTGTTGTATTTGAAGCATGGAAAATCACCTATCTCTGATTTTGTAGTCCGAGAAACACGACACTGACAAGGACTCAGAAGAAGAAATTGGAGCCAGAGAAGACTGTGGAGAGGATAGGATCATTGCAGCTAGCAAAGAAGTTGAACGATGTGATTATGTCTGGCAGCTCTGCTGGATCCATTTAGTTAGGGACCTCCAACATCCTACCGGAAAATCCAAGCCTTATCAACCCCACTTGAGGAATACCCAAACTGAATCTGAAGCCGTAAAGTTTTTAAAAATAGAAATAGCCCAGTATTCCCTGGAATATATATGGGTGTCTGGGATCTATATTGGTAATAGATATTTCACATTTTACACGTCTCAGTGCTTCCTAGTCATCAATTAGCAAGTAGAGATTTATGTATAAGCAACTCTGTTATGAAGCTAAGATAAAATAACATCTATACATAAATAAATAAAAACCTCCCCGTTAAACCCCGATTGGCAAGGGTGGGTTAAAGGCAATCCTTGTACGCAACCTTACCCTTACATATTTGCAAAAAGATTATTTCCTGAATTCGAACCCGTGACCTTTCAATCACAAAAGGAGAAAAACAAAAGATTTATGTTATTATGTTGGTAGAGAACAAAAGAAACAAGAATGATCTAGTGAGTGTGGGCATACTAGACTGAAGCTAGTCTCTTGCTTTGGGTACAAGGTGTATAACTGTATATGCAGTTTATTATTGTAGTGGAGTATTTCACAAAGTTCAAGCATTAAAGTTGCATACGACCAAACTCTTTGAAAATGAAGATATTTTGTACCAAAAAAATGATATGAATTGAAGCTTTGACGAACAATTTAGTGAAAATAGGCGGTGGAGAGCTATATATATACAGAAACGTACAAAGTAAAAAGAATGTAGGCTGAAGCGTACATTGCCTCTAGCCCACAGCAGTAGTTATAGTAGTGGGAAGAGTGCACATGGTTGCCAATCAATTAAACTCCTATTCGACAGCAATATATCAACTAGAACCAATCCTCCAATTAAGGGTCAAAACTTACAACTTTCTTTAATAATTTTCCATAAATAACAGCATTAGTTAACAGATCACTCATAAGATTAACACATCTGACTGAACATGTGACAGTAGAATTAGAAATATAATACAATATGCAAGAAACAATACTCACAGATCAGATGGTGTAGCTATCGGCCTGAATCCTCGAAATACATTATCCTTCTCCTGACCATCCAGTACCCTAACCCTTTCGACTAGATCTCTTCTAGAGAGGCGCTTTTTTGATTTACCCTACATCAAGAACCATTGATGACAATATTGACTTTCTTTTTTGAAAAAAGATGTTAGAGAATAATATAAACTATTAAATCAAGTTAAAATCCAAAATATGGATTGACAAGTCCCTAACTGCACCTTTTGAAGATCTAGTTAAAATCACCTAATTTATCAACACATTAACCTTCTGAAAGCAAATACAAGTTGTGGACTAAGCATGCATGCACATAGAGGAGTTTGTGAGCACCCATGTATATGTGAGACTCTGTGTTTGTGTGTGAGTGAGAGAGAGAGCGCTCAAAATTTAGTTTCCCAAATACTACCTTTTGTCGAAGAGTTGCAACATACAGTGATTCACGTATCAAAGGGAAAATTGCATCCACAAAGTCATCAAGCATCCCTCTATTCCGATATATGTTGCAGAGCTTTAGTTTTATTCTTACATCAACCCACCAACTATTTGCCTCTTCACAATGTGCTTCAACAGAGTCTGCATGTGTCTCACATAAATCTCCAAAGAAGAACTTTAATCGCAAAGAAAGAAAACGTTTATGCAAGTACCAGAATCCTTTGGAGGAGACAGTAAGGAAATGGCTTCATCTTCTTTCCCTTGTTCAAGCATAAGGGATGCCAAAGTTATGCGTGCATCAACATCATCTTCTAGAGTTTCAAGAGCTGAAACAAAAGCCTGTTTAGCAACTGAGGATTATAAATATTAAAACTAGTAGCAAAAAAAGCAAACACCTATCCAGCAGACCAATAATCAGAAACCAATGACAAGAAGGAATATTGCATTGCCTGCACTTGATATAAACAATCTACGAGCATCTAGTGTAAAAATGCTCTAATTACTCAATTCAATTCTCAACTCCAAGTCAGAACAGGATGTGATACATATTTACTAGCCTTTTAAATTTTGACAATCTTCTTTTCTTTCCTATCAAAGAAATATAATGAAAAAAGAGGGGCTTTGAAACTACAAATAATTAACCATAACTTACATTTTTCAAAATAGAAGACAAGAAATTTTAGAAAGAAGCAAAATAGAACAAAAGGAATGAGATAATATATCCTCCATAATAGAAAATGAAAAGAAAAATAAAAGAGATCAAGAATGCAGCATGCTCAATCTCTTGTAAACCCGAAATAGAAACTCGCTATAACATCCTTGAACAAAGCAGTAGAGAGAAGAAAGTGACAGACACCTCTAAAGAAACGATCATTCATTACCAACCAATGCACCAGTCTGACTGGAGAGTTACGTACTATATTGCACTATGCCAAAAATCTTTGGCCAGAATGTTTCTACCAAAACCATTTTAAGTTTAAAACCAACCACGAAAAATTGCTTACAGTAAAGAAGCACCCCCAATAATCATTAAATCAAAAACTGTAAACAGCTTATTTCAAGGGGATGTTGCTGCCTTTCAATGTAAAAGAAAATGGGCAACACTTTCCAAATCAGATTATCTTAAATATTTTCAAAAGCTCTGTATTAATCTATACCTGAAAAAGTACATGATCTTCATGTGCATTATGATGGACAAAAAAAATAAGCCAGAAATATGAAAGAAGCAGCAGAATAAGTTGCAGTCCAGGACCAAGGAGAAAATATATTGATAGATACTGCAATTATAATATAATCAAGGAGAAATCTCTCCTTTGCAGAGATTGAAGTTGTCATGAACCAACTCTCCCAAAACCTTAAACAGTTAGATGAAGACACATAATTTTTTTATACTACATCTCTAACATGCTCTCTCACATAAGAGCCCTTGGGCTTAAAGTGTGAATAATGAACAGACCCACCTATAGAAGCTCTCATACCTTGTCATGAACCAACTCTCCCAAAAGTTTAAACTCTTAGATGAAATCACGTGAATGATTAATATTACATCTAATAGAAGTTCTGCTCAGTAACAGAAATTGATCAGAATGAACAACAACAATAACCAAAACAAAACTAAAAAAAACAAAAGCAAAGCAAAACAAAACAAAACAAAACAAAATGAAGCAAAGAAAAGAACAATCAGAGCTGAAGTTACCGACTCTGCCCTCCCAACCTACTCTCCCAAAGAGTTTACAAAGAAAAAAGGTTCTAACCAAATTTAAAAGATATTGATGGAAACATTCATTTCAGAAACTTCAGCACCAGCTAGAATGCTGGATTTCATTTCATGTATTTAAAACCAAGAGGGAAGTGGTTCTCATTAAGTATTATTTGCCTAAATACCATTATTAATAAAAATTAAACCTTGCCTTTGGAAAAGAATATAATTGCTTGTGACCTTTCGTTCAAGGATAGGTAACATCTAGCAATTTTCAGATGCAGATGACCCTGCAAGAAAGAAGTTCAATGATTATCATATTATCCTGATAAGATAATGTTGATATTGAAAGACATACAGTAGAAAATAGATTCTAAACTAGCTCAAAAGTATCATGCAACCAAAATGAGAAAAATAAAATAAAAAAGGTAAAATTGCAAACAGTAAAGTATTTCATTTAATTCATATGAGCAATACCATTCATCTAACCCTCAGTCCTCTAAAAGGCTCTACCAATATTAGCATAAGATCACTTCTTTTCTTTTAAGAGAACATATGAAAATAATTTATACATAGAGTCAATTAAAAGGGTCAGTGAATTGAAGCACTGGAAATGTTTTTAAAGACCCTATGTGTACAGCTCAATATCAAATTGCAAGACTGGAAAATATTAAGTCAACTACTCGAGAAAACTACCAGTATAAAATCAAAACAGTAAGAGAATTGCAATACAAAGGAAGGAGTTACCATACATTTTCATTTCCACTATTTCCTTCCAACGTCAAATAATAATTCAGTGCAGAATTATAATGTTCAAGATCCATTAATGAGTCTGCAACCATGGTGACCAAGTCAACATGCTCGCTTGCATTCTCTGGTTTCAAATCATTAAAGAGAACCTGCTAATCACGTGAAAATGTTATGTAGTACATAACACAAAACCAAAACGAAGATTAATATACCGCCATTTCCCTTAGACACGTCTGGTGGCAATTCATCATTGTATTAAATGAGGCCAGTGAAAAACACAAAATGTTAACAAAAAAACTAATAGACCGTGCTTTGGAAAAGGAAGAGACGGAGAAATACAGAGACAGCTGTGTTGGAGTACAAAGCCTAATAGCCTAAACTTTTTTTTTAGTTTCACAAAAGAAAAGAAGGCATTTTATTAGAAAAGAAAAAAAAATGATATAACAAAGGACTAGAAGTCTAATTTAAAAAAACAAAGTAACATAGGAAAATCAAAACAAAGTTGCATTTTTCTTTCAAAATTCAAACTTCAAAAGGGATATCTTACATGGGGATATTATCAAGGATAAGTAACAAGGTCACCCCTAAATTGACTACGACACAGGAAATATGCACAAAATGGAGGGAAAATCCAAGCTAACTGAGGAAGTCTCAATTCAACACCAATTCATATATACCATTTAATATCAATAATCCTATCATGATACTCTAAGGTTCAAGCAAGTAAGAATCAAGTGGCAAAGTTCAACCAAAACACATTTAATTCAATTATAAGTATGCATACAACGCACCTGAGCCATCTCCATGTTTCCAAGATGAAGATGGCATATTCCAGCTTTAATTTTCAAACTCAAAGGCAATTCTTTTCCTGAATTTACCACTTGGGCATGTTCAATATGCTGAAGAGCTCTGTCATGTGCCTTAGTTTCCATCAATATGGCACCCAGTAGATCAACTACACTTGCATTTGATCCGTTGGGTTGACTCTTAAGATAGTCTTCAAGAATGCGAACTGAACAGTCAACTTGACCACATTTTTGGTAGAACTAACAGAAAACAAAATAAATTCAATTCAGCGATGAAAGCCAACCACAAAATATGAATAATTCCTCCTGAACAGTATTTCTAAAACACAATGCCAGCTGAGTAAGAACCAGTGTTGCCATTGATAAATGCTCGCAACCAAAAAAATCCATCATAATTCAGTGCTGGCCAGATTGCAGCCAGAAAGTGGTCAGCCAGCCTGGTTTAAGCCCAAAATTAGTGATTTCGGGAATCAGGCTGGCCTGATTTCAGCCCAAAAGTGATTGGCCAAGCCCAATTTTGCTTTTAGTTTTCAAGTTGTGATTGAGTTGGGCTAAGGTCTGATTTCATTATGATATGGTCCAATATCTCATCTTATAAATTTATTTGAAATGGAAAAATTTTAAACTTCTAATTTTGCAAGCAAATTAATAATTTGAATTTAGCCCTCCCAGACATCATTTTTTTCCTCTGTCCCACCCCCCTTCAAAGATGCTATCTCCGCCCTTGATAAGGGGTTATAATGATAGATAAGGCCATATGACATACAAGCAGATACATACATTCTAGAGCATCACAAAGGCAAATCATGACTTTCAAATGAAAATAATCATTCAGATAACAAAAATAAATTTAAAAAAGGATTGAATTTATAGAAAAATAAATATATGTTCATATCTGATGGAACCAGAAAAATAACATTGAAATTATAGAGATAATGGAGGTCATGCCTTTTTTACATACACTAATATGCAGAAAATAAACCCCAAGAAAGCCTCAACTCCCCCTCAAACCAAACACCTAGGCTCAAGAGTTCCCTAGAGGTCTCTCAAATTCCCACTAACCAATTCTGAATACATGCATACTGAAAACCCCACCCCCAAATCATTTTATATAACAACATCTCTCTCCTCTAACTAACTACTATGGACTCTTTTGCATTGCTGAACTTGGGCCCACTAATTATAGCCCATCAATACTTTCCCTTTCAAAATTCACCTTGTCCTCAAGGTGAGGAAGAGAATAGGAGATGTAATTGAACATCCACCGGGACCGGGATCCCATTGCTTGAAGAACATTGATCCCGTCATTCTTGAAACTGAAAAATTGTCGGATCCCCTTGCCCTCTTGTCTCCGTTCTGCACATATCTGGCAATGAAACAGGGTATATCTCCATATTTCCCATCTCCATATTTCTTCTTTTTTTGCTGGCCCATTCCAAACAAAAATTCTGGGCCACAATCACCTTTTTTCAAGCCCAAATGTGTCTGGTCATGTAACCCCATGGTGAAACCAATTGGGTCTGACCCAAATGAGTAGCTAAGTGATTTTAACGTTACTCCATCACCATCCACAAGCACCATCCATAGTCTTTGTGAGTTTCCAAAGCTCAGTTGAACTTCCGCCGCCGACAGCCACCGGAACCGCGTGCGCCAGTCACTTCCGTCGTCGTTCTCTGCAGTCAGTCGTCGGAAACTCGCTCCTCGCCTGTCACCGTCGTTTGTTGCCTCTGACGACCCTTCTTGTTCATAACCCAGCCCCTCGTTCTTTCCGCTCAAGTCCATCTCCTCTTGAGTTAATCTTCTACATCGCGTTCGTCGTCGGTGTTTCTGGCCGCCGCTCGCCGCCGTCACCCTACCTTGGGTGGGATTGTTTTTGTCGGTTGTTCCCCCTGCAATTAACATCATGCTTCCCAAGTCCTCCGGTGAGTGCAGGCGGAGCTCCGCCCTTATCTCCTGTTTCAAACTCCCTAATTCAAACGCACGTTCTTCCACACCTTCAATCTGCATCGTCGTTTTGCTGATCTCGCTGGGAACACCCAGCCTTAATTTTGTGGAAATCTCCCTCTTCAAACCTGTATTTAGATCTGCTTCTTTGATCTCTTCTTCTTTTTTTGTTTTTTCGTTGATTTGTTTCTCTGACAGAATACCTTCTTTTATTTTGGATCTATATTTTCTTTTGTTTCGTCTTCTTCTTTTATTTTGGATCTGTCTTCTTCAACACCTGATTTTTCTTCTTTTGCTGGCTCTGTTACGTTTTCTGCGTCTTCATCTTTTTTTTCTTTTTCTTCTTTTTCGATTTTCTGATCGTGTTTTGCTTCTTCTTGAGCTTCTCGCTTTTCTTCCCAAGCATCCATGATCTTTAGCATCTTCCGCAACAATTCCATGACATCCTTCGTGCTGGCTTTCTCCACTGCTTCAAGATATCTGTTGGTTTTGTTCTCCATTTTTTTGTTTTTTTTTTGTAGATCTGAACCAGAAGCACTCCTAGATCGGAAATGCTCTGATACCAAATTGATGGAACCAGAAATATAACATTGAAATTATAGAGATAATGGAGGTCATGCCTCTTTTACATACACTAATATGCAGAAAATAAACCCCAAGAAAGCCTCAACTCCCCCTCAAACCAAACACCTAGGCTCAAGAGTTCCCTAGAGGTCTCTCAAATTCCCACTAACCAATTCTGAATACATGCATACTGAAAACCCCACCCCCAAATCATTTTATATAACAACATCTCTCTCCTCTAACTAACTACTATGGACTCTTTTGCATTGCTGAACTTGGGCCCACTAATTATAGCCCATCAATATCAAATCTGGATTGGAGGAAAAGACAAACCTTGGCTGCTGCTTTTAGTGCATCAACATTCTCACGGCTGAGTTGATGTACTTGCTCATATGCCACAGCAGCTTTTTGATAATCTCCAAGTTCAACATAAAGCATTGCACGATGATTTCTAAGAGTAACATCCTTGGGATCAGCTGTTATTGCTTTTGAAAGACAATAACTGGCTTGACCAATATCACCTTGTTCTCTGCACTTCAAAAAGGTTCTCAATTCAGTAACTAAACTATTTCTTTCATATATAAAAGCATTTTTAAATCGAATACAAGCATAAACTTAGTTATTTTAGAAATGATTACAAACTCCAATGAGATAAATACAGTGGAGAGATATTTTGGAATGTAAATTGAAGTAAATAATGAAACATATTCTCCATTAATACATAGCATACAAAGGTCATTTATTTTAATTAAGGATACATTACTTGATTCAATTTCATGATTAGAATGGGAATATAAATTCATACAACTGAATATTTCAGAAGAATAGCTACACAAAAATATGATGGCAATAAAAATGAAGAACCGTCTCACATGGACCAGGTAAAAAGCAATTTCCAAAGAGATGAATCTTTTGGAGTCAAATGAGCAGCAATCATGTAGAAATCCATAGCTCTTTTATAATCCTCAAGTGAACTATAGACAAGTCCAAGGGTGTGATACGAGTCAGGCAAATTTGGTGCCAGCCTAACAACTTCATGCAAGACATGTCTTGCCTGCAAAAAGCCAACAGAGCAAAATGCATAACTAATTGGCGAAAAGTTAAAGCAACAGTAAAGTCTATAATGTATATCAAGCTTAAACACACACAGAAAGCATGCAGAATCAGAAAAACTAAACACCCAGCTCGTACGCCATCAAGCATTAATAACTCCACTTATTATTTTGGAAGATGGAAAAAAATAGAAATGGGTACTGTTAGAAAGCATTTCAATAGACAGGAATGCAACTTCCAGCTAATGTGTTTAGGAGGAAGCAACCTTGCCTCTTGGAAAAGTAATACATAAGAGTGTTGCAGCTAGATCACTAGTGAGTTAGCGCGAATACATCATCAACTTGATGAACTTGGATTTTGAGCACTATCTTAACTCTTATGTTATTTATCAGAAAATAGGAATATTTTGAGCAGTAAACCAGTGTACATTAGCTACAAGGATACCAAAAAAGTACATAAAAAGAAACATTAGCATCCAATACCCCAGGTTGCATCGGAAGATCATATGCTGAAAGTGGCTACACAAAGAGAAATATTATCATCTATGTCAAGGTACTTTATTGCAGAAGACCATCCTCAAAAAATAAATAAATAAAGTAAGTGCAAAAACTTATTTATCCACCAATTTTCCCTGAAGATACTTGAGAACTGCGACAGCAATTACCAAAACTCCAGTGCCAGAAGCTATAGATTGTCTGTAATACCCCATATTTTTATTAACTTTAACCTTATGCCTTTTAGTTAATTTGAGGAGTTCAAACTTTTAAGTTTCGAGGACGAAACTTCTTTTAAGGAGGGTAGAATGTAATACACCCATATTTTCTTTTAATAAAATAATAATAATAATAATAATATAATAATAAATATTTTTGGATAATAATGATATTTAGTATTTTTGTAATTAATAATATTGGTATTTAATATTTTTAATTAATGAGTTAATAATAGTTAAAATAATAAGAGGTAAGATAATAATAGTAATATTATTTTATTTATGTGATAATATATAATTATATATATATATATATTAGATGATAAATTATGATTAATTGATTTATTAATTGATTGGTGATTTATGTATTTATGTTTGATTAGTAATTTGTTTAGATATGATGAGTCAACAAACATAAATTGTTTAGATATGATGAGTCAACAAACATAAATTGTTTAGATATGATGAGTCAGCATTGAGTCAGTAATGTGTAAGCCCTAAACTTCAACTATGAATAGAGGTCTAGCCTAACCAAACCAATTCACTCTTCAACATTTCTCCTCTACTATTCTCTCTTCTTAGTTCAAAAACTTAGTTTAATTTATTTTATACTCTTCTGGTTACCAACCGGTTCTCTGCCCCAAATTACTCTTTTCTTCTAGAAGTTAGCGAAAACGGAGACCAGATAATCCTAATCTCTAGGTGGTTGTAGATTTGTTGTGTATGAAATTTTATTGGGTGTGTCCTAATCTTTCAGATAGTTATATGTTTGATGTATATGTAATCTTAATCCTTAGGAAATTTTAGAATGTTTTCATTTATTATATGTACCCTTAGGGTATTTAAATTAAATTATTGGATTTTGGCTTTACCCTAATAGATGTGAATATTTGAATTTTGATTTGAAAAATTATGATATGATGATTGGACTTGAATTTTACCCTGGTAGATGTTGAATATGAAAATTATGATATTCTTGGATAATGGATTTGGAAATTATGATATTATTGAAAGATTCATTTTGGAAATTACAATCTTGATTAAATTGATGTGGAAATCATGAAAACTGTTTGACAATTATGAGAATCGTGACAAGATTGAATTGATTGTATGTGATTGAATAAATTAATAGTGGGAGGATAGCTTTGGGATGGTACCTCCCAAGGTGATGAACACAACTTTTGGGCTTTATGCCTCCGATGTGAAACTGATGTGAAAAAGATTATATCTGTTCTTCCCAAAGTGGTATCTGGTAACAGTGGTTTTTTCCCGGGGTACTAGTAGCAACTTTGGGAAGAGGTGTGCACACTAGGAAAATGTGAATTGATTATGGCCAATTTTGATTATACGTGGCTGGTAACAGTGGTTTTTTCCCGGGTCACGGGGTAGACTGGCAGGGTTTTCCGGGTCTACCATGGTTCTCTTCCCACTAAGTACAATGAACTTAAACATGATTAATAATGAAATGTTATTTGATTTGATTATGATGAATGTCATTGAGTTGTGAATATTACCATTTATGTAATATTATGATTAATGTTGTGCTGAATATGTTAGTTGATAAATTACCCTTACTAAATACAATAAATGGACTAAATAAAGATTAATATAATTAATAACGAGTTGATACTTGATTTGAATTTTTGAGTTATATTACTTGATTTAATTATTATGAGTTCTATTTATTTATTTATTTATTTTTGTATTTTGATTGGGATTACCAGCTTTGCTGACTGTTTGTGATTGTTTGACTGCAATGATCCTGCGGCTGCGGGGGAGCAGATTTTCAATAAATCAGGTGGCAAGGAATCGGGCTAGCAGTGGACAGTGAGGATACGACTCAGGATTTCTAGCTGTCATAAATATTATGTATAAAAAAAAAATTGTAGTCTTAGATTTTGATTTGAATGTATAGAGTTAGCCTTGCACTTGTCCCTGTACAGGTGCGGCGGTAACACTTCCCAAATTCGATTATTTTGAACTTCCGCTGTTATTTATAAAAATATTGAATTTATTTATGCTATTATAAATTGTCAGAATTTGGGGTGTTACATTGTCGCATGACAGAATAACGTACCTGGTCATTACGGCCACAGGCATAGTGAAGAGTGGCATCACCCAGCATTCGTGTTAGCTGAGGGTTGAGTTTATTCTTTGATCCTTTTCTCCTACCTCTTTTTTTAGGCTGCATCAGGAAGATAAACAATATTGAAGAGGTTCATATAAGTTATGTCAAAAACTAAAAATCAGGTAGTTACATAACTTGTAACTGAACATGCTTATTTTTTTACAACTTTCACCCACATCCTTTCTATGGCATTATATGCATAAGAAAATAAGGGACCAAAAGCTTACAAGGATAGAGATGTAAAAGTAAATTAGTGAAAACCTATCATCTAAAACAGAAAATTCATGAACACAAGGAACAAGAAAAAAATCAAGAATGCAGCAATGCTGACCAGCATATATAAAATAGAAACTCCCCAGAAACAGCTATGAGCAAAAAATGTTATTGGCATGAACATAAATCTTAATTTTTTTTCCAAAACCATAACACCAAATGTATTCTCTGTTGTCCATTCCATTGCTAGAGACTATTACCTGTAATCCTACTTTTTTAAAAATGAATTAAATGAAGGCTATCAACTTCTCTCAGGATACTCTTTGCTTATGTGGAAGAAAAAAAGAACCAAAATAAATTATACTTTGCAATCTGACACAATGGTCAACTATCAATTTTCCTTTTAAAAGTACATATGGGTTCTCCATTATACACACTTGTGTACAGGTATAGCGCCAAAATAATATGAAGACTCTATTATCATGATGTGGAACAAACATTACGGATCATGTGCATATCATAGTATCATACCTTTCTCGATCTCCTGCGCACACCGTAATTCATTGTTTCCATTATCTCAGCCATGCTTGCCTCAGAAATATCATCTACCCTTGCCTTTTTACAAGAAGTTCCTTCACTGCATTTAGAGCCATTAAACATATAAAAGCCAGTGACAGCAGCAATTTATTTAAAACCCTTCAACACTTGTATCAGAACTCATAATCGGGACTCATCCTTACTAGTTCACTGAAATTTTCTTTCATGTTCCTTGTAGGATCTAAGCTTTTCTGTTTTAGAGATATCTCAACCCCCAGTAGTTATACTTCAACTTTTTTGTCTCTAAAACAATTTTTTTTTTAAAATAAAAAGAAGTTCTATTACTAACTAGCTTATTTGTTACAATTTCTGATGGACATGTGCATAATGGCGGCATTCTTAGTTGCACATACACAGTACTCAATCAATAAATCAACTGAACACAAAGTTGAATCCATTTCAAGCATAGATTAAAGTATAACCAAACAAGGTTGACTACTTTGAAGTTTAAAGTAAATAGCACAATTTAGCACAATGACAACAAAAAAAATAAATTAAAAAAATAAATATAAAAATAAACAAAACCCATGCTAATGGTAACAACCGAATATTCCCTTCCTAAGCGGATTGAACAGCATATATGAAGTTCAAATGATCAATCATAATAAGCACTTAATCCAACCCATGGCATTAGGGCTTAATATGGCGAAACCTAAAGGGAAAGCAATTAGAAAGAGGAAATTACGGTTCGTTTTGCTGAATCGCTTTTCGCTTTTTATCGGCGAGAGCTTCGTACTCAAGGCGCTCGAATTGCTGGTAGCGTTGAACACCAGAATCATTGTTATCAACAAAGTCCAAAGGGCTCATACCATTTTTGAACCTGAATGTATACTCTCCTTCCACTTCGTCTTCTTCGTCCATGTCTTCTCCTCCATCTTCTTCCTCCTCTGCATTTTCTTCTTCTTCTTCTTCTTCCATAGCATCGAACGTGACACTTACTTCGTCATCAATGTCGGTTCCCTCTTTCGCCATCAGAAGCTGATTTTGCTTTGTATAAACACTTTCTCTGTATTTGAATTTGAAGCTCTTCAACTCAAACTCCTCTTGTTTTATTTGATTCGGAACCAGGTTGAACACCTTCACCTTCTTCAGTTTTTCGCGTCGTTTGAGATTCTGAAACGGTATCGTATTTAACTATTTGTGTCTTCTATTATAAAAGTTATACAGAATCAAAATTAATAATAATAAAAAAAGAAACAAATCTATTGAAATCATCAAAATTTCAAATATTATGAGATTTATCAAATTTTTAAATATAAAGAAAATTATCTATTTATTTAAAATCTTGATTAAATATTCAATGGTACCACTCATTAAAAATATTATAGTTATTGAGAGTTAAATTTTTTCATATAAGAAACAGGTTTTGTAAAATATAAAAAATAATATTTTAATTTATGAAAATAGTTATAATTTTAACTGAAAAAATTGTAATACTTGCAATATAGTTTGACATTGAGTTATTAAATAAAATTCCTGTATGACATAAAAATCTAATATAAAACTAACGCAATTTGGGGCTTCGCCCCTTAATGTTATCAAAAAAAAAAAAAAAACTAACACAATTTATCTTAGAAAACAACTTTGAAATAAAAAATATTTCACTACAAACGGAACATTTATTCCGCATCAACCAATCAATTTAATTCATGGCAATTCTACTTAAATGTATAAATATTCTTCCTCTTAAGTATGATTATAACCCACTCACAAACTAAGATATCAATTTCAATAGACTATAAGACAAACTATCCCAAAAAAATATAACAATACCACATTTCAACCCAAAATAAAATTTTAAAGTATTGAGTTCATAGATCATTCCACTTACATATTTATTGCTTAGTCCATTTTTACATGATGTGAGATTTTTTCACTCAAACTTAAATTATCAATAATAAACCCATCAATTTGGTTCAGATTATCATAATAAAAGTGGAGGATATAATTTCTTAGAGAAAACATTTTCTCTTTTTAAAGGAGAAATTCTTTTTCCTACTAAAGACTCATAGTATAAGTGGGGCCTACAAAATAGTGTAGAGAAAAAAAAATTAAGTAGGGACCCACTTATGTTATGAGTCACTAGTAGGAGAAAATTTTCTCCTTTAAAAAGAGAAAATGTTTTCCCAATTTCTCATGTTGCATGAAAATGAAATAAAGGAAAATATTACTCTCCTTTTACATAAGATAACTTCTCTCCTACTCTCTCACTTCGATTTTCGCACTTCACCTTTTTCTTTTTCTTCTTTTTTCTTATAACTGTAGGACTCATCCATTTTCTTTCTACAAAATAAGATATCTATCTTATGTAAAAAGAGATTAACAAAACCCTGAAATAAATCATCTTATTCAACATACAAAAACATAGATAGAACCCAAAAAAAAGAAAAGAAAGAAAATAAGTAGATCTCATTAATTTCTTTTTATGTTATGAGAAAATATATTGCCATAAAAGTGTTAGTTTTGGTGAAACAAAATCTCACTGATTTTATCTGACTTCTTTCATTTTTGACAGGTTTTCATGTTCCAGTTTGTCAAAATTGATTCGTGTATACCACTAAAAGAATCGTGTACACCACTAAAATAAGTAACTATTTTAATGCTGATAACATGCAATCCACTTTTGTTTCATCTATTTTGGTTACAAAAATTCTGAACTCAACTATCTACCAAGTGATTCGTTTTAATTTATTTGATTAAGAAAAATGAAAAATAGGTACAATTTTGTCTTTCTAGGATATAATTTGCTTCAAGGACGGTGGGCAGATACGTGATGGATCGTTTATTAAAAATGAAATGCTGAAATCGTCAAAATTCAAAGGCACATAAATAATAAAACCAACAAATAAATGCCTTTAAAAAAGTGACGATCAAACATTTCAGAATATCTTGATATTCTATTGCCTGCTTAAATCAAAGTAATTGTAATTGTAATTGTAATTGTAATTGTATTGTGGAACAATTTGCGATCTTTTATATACAAAACTAAATGTTTCCTCGCCATCTAGGCACCCGTTTGTATCAACCAAAAGAATACTCAAGACACTATAAATTAGAAGTCTATTCAACTCATCCAGATTTAACAGTCACTTCAAATTGCCCTTCCCTTTCTGTATGGTTATATCAGACGAAAGAAAACCATTGTATCATGCCTTCACCCCAGGAAGGAAATACTGCAATACACTCTTAAATCAATTTCATTGATGCAAATTTTGCTGCAAGATCCATAGCCTCATTCACATGTGAAGCATCTGTACCCTGAAAAGGGGTAGGTCGCACACAAATCAGTAAGATATAATATAAAAAACAGCTACGCATCCAGAATTGATGAACATTTTCTTTTTAACAAGTCGACATGCTACATGATAATTCCAATTATGAAAAATATTCCTGAGTTGCTGATGGTTGATGTCATCAAAAATTCGAAATGTCCAAAATCAAGCAATCTTAAAATGCTTTTGAGCAAAAGCATTTCAAAGTAAATAAACTAATATGCTCTCCCCCCACCAACAAAATCCTCAAACCACAAACTAATGCTTAAGTGGCATAGGTTATTGGACAACAAAGGATATATGTAATATAAAGAATTGAAAATTTCCATGCTATTTTAGTATTTACTAAAATCAAATTGTACTCCTGTGCAACAATTAGATAAATCAGTCAAATACTAACCTGCCCTGTTGCAAGACCACCTTTTCCTTTGCCACATCTCCCTTTTAGAGGCCCCAAAGCATTACTCAACCACTCTGATACATCCAGTTTACCTTTATCTCCTTTCTCTGGCACCCCAGCACAAACTACAGCCTTGTTTGTAGATTCATCGGTGCTAAAAACCATCACAGACAACCCCTGTTCATCGGCCAGCATTGGTACAAGTTACTCTTTGAAGTTAACAGAGAATATAATTGCCAAAGACACATAACATAATTTCACGGAGCATATTCATGCATATGATGATGACGACAAAATTTAAGCTACGAAGCATATTATGCATTAAATTCAACACAGAATAAGATCATTTAATGCAATGCTGGAGACCAAGAAGATTCTTAATAAATGAAGAATCAGCAATTACCTTCTGGTCCATGACTTTTGTAACTGCTTCACGAACTGCAGCTACATCCAGACCAACGTCAACTTGAGATATGCAAAAAGTTTTCCCATCTGAAGCAGCTAATTCAGCCTTCTCAGCTGTGATCATTATAGCTTTACGTTTGTTTTCTTCAGCAACCTGCTTTTGTGCTTTTCTCACTTGATCCTACGAAAAATATGACATTATTACAATATAGGACTTCATGCATGAGCAAATAAAAGGATGACAATTAAAATTGAAAATAGTGAAACCGGGGAAAAAGCATAATGCTCGCAAATTAATTCCATGTATACAAGGCTTTAGCCCTTCTTATGTACCCAAAAATAAAAAATTCCATGTATACATATTATACCTGAAGCCGGACTATCCTGGTCTTGATGTCAGCTTTCTTGGCTGCAGGAATTGATAACGTTTCCACATTGCTTTTCAGAGATGAAACTTTCTGTGACAAAAGGGAAACAGAAAATTAACTAATTACGATTTTGGAATAGAGGCATATGCTGCATATCTATCTGCTAGGATAACCAGGTTCAATAACTTAGAGAAAGAGAAAAAGAGAGCAAGAGAGAATCCTATAAAAGAGGGTATGGACTAACATCAGTTGTTAGGCTCCAAACTACTGTATTTATAAATTCAGATTATGCCATGTACTAGTAGTACAGTACAAGTGCTGCACACACAAGGCAAGCCGAGAGAAGTCAACATACAAATACATATTCTACATATTTGAACAGTGTAAAAGGAGCCGAGAAAATAAATTGAACTTATTACAAAACATGAAAACACAGTCTAGTATCGATTCTAGCAGCACAAATTTACATCTTTTTGGATCCCCAAAGCCAAGAAGAGAGGACCTTCCAATGCCATAACCAAGGTTGTCAAACTCGAGAGTTTACACAAACTCGGAAGGGTGAACCAAAATCGTAAATCGCAGAATCGTAACACGGATCGTTGAATCGTAACAAAGTATATAAATTATATTTATACATGCATATAAAGTAATATAATAAGCAAGTTTAATTCAAACAACAATCAAAATAATTGTTAGTGGACTAATTTTATTTTTCCCAGTAATTATAAAACAAAACAGAGGCAAACATGAGAAAAAAAAAAAGGTAATTTGGTTTATCCCACATTTGGTTTATCAAATATACATGTGGTGTGGCGTTGGCGTGTGGCAGCAAATGTACGAAACAGAGGCAAAAAATTAAAAAGAATATTTTTTTTTTAAAAAAAAGGTATTGAAGCAGAGAAATAGAGAAATAGAGAAATAGAGGAAGCGAAAAAAAAAAGAAACGAGAAAAAAAATAAAAGCAAACAGGGATTGGTGAAAATTAAAAATAGGAAAAAAAAATTATAAACAAATGAGAGACAGAGGCAGAGAAAAATAAAAATAAACGAAACAGAGGCAAACAAAGAAGAAGAAGAAAGAAATGAAACGGAGAAGAGACTGAGGTAGAGAACACCAATCGCGACGGCGACAAAGAGAGAAGATGGTCGGAGAAGCTGCGAACGACGATGAAGCACGTCGGAGAAGCTGCAGACGATGAGGAAGCACGTTGGAGAAGACGATCCAGCACGACAAAGCACATCGGACGAAGCAGACAGAGTCGCGCGACCTCACTGAGCAGTACGTGGCGGCTGAAACCAGGTATTAGGGTTTCTTGTGTTTAAAAAACCCATTTATAAGATGGGTTTTGGGTCAAATTTTCGGGTTCATGGGTCACTCTCCATTTCCTTGAACTCGTTAAACTCGTACGAGCTTAAGAGTTTGCCAAAAAACACGGCTTTCTACCATTTGAGTGCCAAAAGCGAGTTCGCATGGAAACAGGAACGTTGAGGGTGACCAGAAGCGTAAACTCGTCCGAGTTTGCGAGTTTACTCGTGAGTTTGACAACCATGGCCATAACAGATGTATTTAGTTGTTCCTCACTTAAGTAATTCAACTGAGGTTTCATGCTCATGAGTATTTACATACTATCCACAATATTGAATAGGCTCCACTAGGCCTTCATATTAGGTACAAACTTGGAATTTTATAGGCTCAATAATTAGCTTGATACCTCTGCTTAACAATTAGCAATTCTAAGGTTCACTCTATACCTAAATTGGTTTCACTTTGGCGGATGGTTAAGCCAGTTGTTGACTTTGACCTCTTCAGTCATTAGCTATGAACTGAGCTAGACATTTCAGAATTCAATTGGTTGAACTGGGCAAACCAACTAGAATGGAAAAAACACAAGCCTAATGCTACAAAAATTTAGACAAACAGAAACCCACATACACAACACCAACCTCTTCCAGCAAATTTCCTTCTAACTTAGCCGCATCATCTACTTGCTGCTCAAATTCATCTGCCACTTTCATCGCATCACAAGCACGTTCAGTAGTGACAGCTGTTATCCTGCGAATTCCTTTTGCAATTCCTTCCTCAGACAAAAGTGCAAAAGCTTTAGCCTCTCGGGTATTTGAAATATGGGTACCTATATCATCAAGTAAAAATGAAATCCCGAAAAGAAACTCAGAAAGAAAGTAAAAATGAAATCTCCAAAAGAAACTCAGAAAGAAATCTTCAAAGGAAACATTAGCTAATAGCTAGGATATTCACCACCACATAATTCTGATGAAATAGATAACCATTTTTCATTCTCGGGGTCAGCAAGGAGATCCTCAACTTTTTGTCCAATCGACACAACTCTAACTGGATCAGGATAAACCTACATCAAAGCAGAATAATGAAGAACATGATCCTGGATAATACAAGAAAGGATATTCAAATTTACACTACTCACTTCTCCAAAAACAGCTCGCAAACCATTGATACGCTTGGCTTCAGCAAGAGTTGCCTCCTTTGCACTCACATCCAATTCAGCTTTGATTTGCTCATTAACAATTGACTCAATTCTCCTCAAATTATCAGCATCAACAGGCTTGCCTATTCATTGAAGCATAATAAATAACTTCACATTCAGATTATTCTAACAGTCCAACTAAATTCACCTTACCGTGAGAAAAATCAAATCTTAATTTTTCAGGAAGAACAATAGATCCTTTCTGGTCAACATGATTGCCAAGAACTTCCTGCATTCATCATAAGAAATTTCAACCATCACACACACAGATCCGAGAATGGAATGAGTAATGCTTTATTCAATGGTGTCTTCAACATACCCTGAGAGCAAAATTTAACATGTGTGTGCAGGTATGGTTAGGGGCTATAAGGGTACGCCTTCCATAATCAACCTGCAAAAGTAATGAGAGATAGCAAATAAATAAGGAGGAATACAAATGCACCAAAAAGTAATGAAAGATACCAATTAAACAAGGAGGTATTTGAAGTAAGCAGGGAAGTAAACAAATAAAGAAGGAATTTAAAATCATGCAGAAATCTATAAAAGTATAAAATTTTACCTTACATACTACTTTGTCACCAACAGCGATACCAGTCCCATTAGAACCAATGTGAAGAACAAAACCTCCATAAACTTGAACATTACGAACTTGAAACGAAGTATGTGGCCCCTCAAGTGATCCACTATCGAAAATCTATACATGTAAAAAAAAAAAAAAAGGAAAACACATCACATACATAACACTAACAAATTAAAGGGATGGAATATTTTATTTAGGGTCCCTATATTCATATAATAGTCCTTTGCCCATATCTATTGCTTGATGATTCCCTTTAGCAAAATCCTTCAACATCACCTGTTTTATAATTTAAAGTTCAAACCATCTCATACTATGATGTTTTAGTCGTAGGTATTATTAGAATTAAAATGTCTCATATCTCCAATATTCTCATCTAGTTTTGATTTAAATTTGATATCTTCAACTTAACTTTAAAATCTTTCAGTTTGAAATATCACATCATTGTAAATGAATTTTTACTCCAGTATCCAAATACTTTCTTCTATCACAAACAGTGCCATACATTACAAATTTTCCTTAACATTTAAAACTGTTTATAATAAAATCTTTGTTAGAATATTAGATATGATATGATTAGATATGATTAGATATGATTGGATTCCGTCTTATCCGTAAATATTCTGACTGTATTTTGACTGTATTAGGATTAGGTTTGGGCCTTTCACTTAAGCCCATTAGGGTCTCTATATATTGTAACTCTCTGACACAGATCAATACACAACATATTATTCTTCTATTATTTTATATTCAAGTTGGTATCAGAGCTCTTTCGTTCTGGAAACCCTCGCTTCCGCTTAGAAACCTTGTTTTTTGCTTTAAAACCTAAGCCCACTGCTTAGGAGTCCTCTTTCTTGCCGTGCGTCCTTCCGGCAAGCCTTCTAGGGCTGTAAACAACCTCTGAGTGATTTTTCCAAACGCGTCAGCACCTCCGACGGCCACCGGAACCACCGCCCGCCGTCAGAATCACTGTTCAGGCAACCAGAGACTTTTTCCGGCGACTTTTCCGACCAAACTTCACGCGATCAGGACCCTCTCTTCCCGGCGACCAGGTCTGTGGTGGTCCGGTCAGCAACGCATCTCCCACGCGCCGTCACGCGCCACCTATCTTCTCTGCGCGTGGGCTTCACGCGCCACCTTCTGCCGGCGTGTGAGCACTATTCCGGCGGCTTTTTTCCGGCCGGCCTTGGACAGAGAAGCTCGCCTTCTCCTCCCCTTTCTGGATCTGTGATTGTTTCTCTGTGGGTCTGACCTTAGACGCGTGGTTCTTTTTGATTGGATATCGTTTGCCTTCGTTTACGGCTTTTATATTTTATCTTTAAATGGCAGCAGCATCTCCTGATCTCTCGGAGGTTAACTCTCCCTATTGTTGCAAATATAGCTCAGTCAGACAATGCATCATTTGGTTCAGGTTCGGACTATGCTGCACTCCAAACCCCTCTCAGGAAGGCTTCTCCTCAGTCTCAGCCTTATACTGGTAATCCTGTTGCTTGTGTTTCTCATTCTACATCACTTGGCACTTGGATATTTGACTCCGGTGCTACCGATCATCTATGTGGTAATAAGGAACTCTTTACATCTCTTACTTATTCTGATCATTTACCGTCTTTTACCCTTGCAGATGGAACCAAAGCCCCAGTTCGTGGGATTGGACAAGCTCGTCCGACCTCTACCTTGGCCCTGACATCTGTCTATTACATTCCTGGCATCCCTTATAACTTAATTTCTATTAGTAAGTTGATCCACTCTCTCACTTGCACCATTACTTTCTCTAACCATTCTGTTTCTGTGCAGGATCCGGGTACGGGGAAAATGATTGGAGTGGGTCGTGAGTCACGAGGGCTTTATTATCTGGATGTGCCTCGTCCTTCAGTAGCATGCTCTCTCACAGAATCTCCACAACTTATCCACAGTCGCCTTGGTCATCCAAGTCTTTCAAAGTTGCAGAAAATGGTTCCTCTTTTGTCCGGTCTTCAGTCTTTAGATTGTGTGTCATGTCAACAAGGGAAGCATACACGCTCCTCTTTTGCCAGTCGAGTCAATAAACGAGCTGATGCCCCTTTCTCTCTTGTTCATTCAGATATCTGGGGTCCAAGTCGTACCTTGTCTGTCTTAGGTTTTCGGTATTTCGTTACCTTTATTGATGATTTTTCCCGTTGCACTTGGACCTATTTAATGAAAAATCGTTCCGAGCTATTTTCCATTTATAAAAAGTTTTCTACTGAGATCCATACTCAATTTGGTGTTTCTATTCGTATTCTACGTAGTGATAATGCTAAGAAATATGTTTCTATTGATTTTTCTAATTTCTTGGCCACACAAGGTACTTTACATCAAACTACTTGTCCTCACACTCCACAACAAAATGGGGTGGCTGAACGTAAAAACAGACATCTCATTGAAACTGCCCGTACCCTTCTTATTCATATGCAGGTTCCCCTTCACTTCTGGGAAGATGTTGTACTCATCTCTTGTTTTCTCATCAATCGCATGCCTTCATCTGTGCTCCACAATGACATTCCTCATAATCTATTGCTTCCAGATGTTCCTCTTTATCCTCTAACTCCACATGTCTTTGGTTGTACTTGTTTTGTTCATGATCTCACTCCTGGTAAGGATAAGTTAACATCCAAAGCCTTTCAGTGTATCTTTCTTGGTTATTCTCGTCTTCAAAAGGGTTATCGTTGTTATTCTCCCGACCTTAAGCGTTACTTAGTTTCCGCTGATGTCACTTTTCTTGATCAACAACCCTTTAATTCTATCCCATCTCAGATGTCACAGGTTGATCATGTACTTCCTGTCCCTTTTCTTGACTTGTCTTTGCCAGCTGCAGGTGCTTCTATTCCAGATGAGCAACCTATTGCTTCTATACCTGAGGACCGTCCACTTCTCACCTATCAGCGTCGCAAAACTGTGCCTCCTGTCGACTCAACTCTTGCTGACTCATCGCCCACTGCTGTTGCTTCTTCCCCTCCGGATCCTTCATCAGAGACTCTTCCCATTGCTCAAAGAAAAGGTACACGTACTACTCGTAACCCTTATCCTCTTTATACCTTTTTGAGTTATGACCGTCTTTCTTCACCTCATTTCACCTTTGTTTCTAGTCTTTCTTCTATTTCTATTCCTAAGACCACAGGTGAAGCACTTTCCCATCCAGGGTGGCGCCAAGCAATGCTTGATGAGATGATTGCACCTCATTCCAATGGCACTTGGGACCTTGTTTCTGCTCCTCCAGAGAAGTCTATAGTTGGTTGTCGCTGGGTTTTTACTGTGAAAGTTGGACCTGATGGCCATATTGATCGTCTCAAGGCACGTTTAGTTGCCAAGAGTTTTACTCAAATCTTTGGCCTTGATTATAGCGATACATTTTCTCCGGTCGCTAAGATGGCGTCAGTCCACCTCTTTCTTGCCCTTGCTGCTGTTCGTCACTGGCCACTCCTTCAACTTGACATCAAAAATGCTTTTCTTCATGGTGATTTACAAGAAGTTTACATGGAGCAACCACCTGGTTTTGTTGCTCAGGAGAGTCTGGAAAGGTGTGTCGTCTTCGGAAATCCTTATATGGTCTCAAGCAGTCTCCTCGAGCATGGTTCAGTCGCTTCAGTTCTGCTGTTCAGGCGTTTGGCTTAATCCGCAGTAAAGTTGACCATTCTGTGTTTTATAGGATTACATCTCCTGATAAGTGTATCTATTTGTTAGTCTATGTTGACGACATCATTCTCACCGGAAGTGATCAAGATGGAATTCGTCAGTTAAAACAGCATTTGTTTAGTATATTTCAAACAAAGGACCTTGGGAAGCTGCGTTACTTCTTGGGAATTGAGGTGGCGCAATCCAGACAGGGCATTTCTATCTGTCAAAGGAAATATGCCCTGGATATCCTAGAAGAAACTGGTATGTTGGGGAGTAAACCAGTTGATACACCTATGGATCCTAATGTCAAGTTATTGCCCGGACAGGGGGAGCCGTTATCTGATCCTGGACGTTATCGGAGGATAATTGGGAAGCTCAACTATCTTACTGTGACTAGGCCAGATATTTCTTTCGCTGTTAGTACGGCTAGTCAGTTTCTTGATTCCCCTTGTGATTCACATTGGGATGCTGCTGTGAGGATCCTCCGATACATCAAAGGAGCACCAGGAAAAAGTTTGTTGTATTCAGATCAGGGAAATACAGAAATTTGTGGTTATTCAGATGCTGATTGGGCAGGATCACCCTCGGACAGGCGCTCTACTTCTGGCTATTGTGTCTTCTTTGGAGGAAACTTAATTTCGTGGAAGAGCAAGAAACAACCTGTTGTTGCTCGATCTAATGCAGAAGCTGAGTATCGTGCAATGGCAAATGCTACCTGTGAGTTAGTCTGGTTAAAGCAGTTGATTTAGGAGCTTCATCTTTGTGAACAGAAACAACCTATGACACTCATCTGTGATAATCAAGCTGCGCTACATATATCCTCTAATCCTGTCTTTCATGAGAGGACCAAACATATAGAGATTGATTGTCACTTCATTCGAGAAAAGATTCAGTCAGGAGAAATCAAGACTGCTTTCGTCAACTCCTCTGATCAACTAGCGGATGTTTTCACTAAAGCTCTTAGAGGTCCTCGGGTTGAATACATTTGTAACAAGCTTGGTGCTCATAATATATACGCACCAGCTTGAGGGGGAGTGTTAGAATATTAGATATGATATGATTAGATATGATTGGATTCCGTCTTATCCGTAAATATTCTGACTGTATTCTGACTGTATTAGGATTAGGTTTGGGTTAGGTTTGGGCCTTTCACTTAAGCCCATTAGGGTCTCTATATATTGTAACTCTCTGACACAGATCAATACACAACATATTATTCTTCTATTATTTTATATTCAAGTATCTTTACCTGATACAAATAAGGTAATGGATATAAATAGCCAAGTTCGTCACCAATTGTCCTTGTTAAGAAGTGCACTCATGCATCTACTAAATAAGAAAGCACAATGCTATGCATTCTTTTAATCCCCCTTAAAATAGTAATAAGATTAAGATGGCTGACAGCCACACTTATACCATTCAAAGAATTTGACAGGCATTCAATATGCTCCTCATTTTATGGCATTTTATGTTGGATATATTATGCATCTATTAGAAAAACCTGTACATTGACTTAATGCCATAATGGGGAGGATGTAGGTACTGAAAACATGCTGAATTACAACTGAAAACATATAAACAAAAATTGCAAAAGAAAACAATAACTGAAAAAAATCAAAGAAAAATGTCCAAGCAACTTGATCATATTTACTGGCAAAAAGATAGTTTTATAATTGAAAAAATGAATAATAATCATAACCTTTAACTAAAGCAAATAAAAATAAATTGCAAAAGAGTATAAATAAATTATTTACAGGGCTTAATACCTGACCACCTTGCTCAGCATAGAAGCTTGTAGATTCCAGAATTACACCAACATCCCCATCGGTATTAACACAATCCACAAACTCGGAACCAGTGTATATTGCTTTTACCACACTCTCATGGTCCTAAGACAAGAAGTGGTGAACAATAGAAATCAACGGAAGACAGTAGCTGATTCTGAAAAAATATCAAGGGAATAAACAGAGAATGAAAAAAGTCTAATACAACTCCACAACAGATAACCACAAATTAGTACGCTATCTCTCCTTTCAGTTTGTAAGTTGTCAAGATGCATGCCATCAAATTATCCAGTGTAAGCAAAGGACGTGGGAAGGGGCAAGAGAGAGAATAATAGAAACTTCCCTATTCCATAGTTCACATCACTCTCATTCAGGCTTCCACACCTAGTATTCTTGTATAGTTTTCTCTATTCGATAGCTGATAATATAATAGAGATCAAATGAGACTGCTTTGTGTAAAGGTTTGAAAACTAAGAGCACCATTTGGCAAATTGGGAGGCTTGTTTCAAGTCCAATAAAGAAGAGGATTTAGGCAAAAGCAAGTGGCATAAAACTTAGCAGAAATGCGTAACTTGTAATTTACTTTGGTGTTGGTTGAAGTGGAGTGCTTGGATACTTGTCCTTGGACATGCTTTCATATATAAATTTTTTTGTGACTTCTGTTAGGCATTCAGCACATAAAATAAGATACCATTTTTACATTGAGATTTGCTTTTGTGGAGGATATCTCTTATCCTCCTTCGGAATACTTCACTATGATAATTTTTTTTCTTTTTACGTTAAAAAAACTTATCTTATCCCCTCGGAGTCCTTAAAAAAAACAAAAAAGATTACCTTGAGCCAAACGTACTTGAAGCTGTCATCTGTTGGAGCAATGCCCCTATTGTGCAAGGCTGAGGTAGCATCAGCATCCATGACAATGTCACCACCAACTTGCTGACAGTAACAAAAGAAAGTTGTGAGGAAGGCAGGGAAAAAGAATAAATGGGTATGTCTCTTTATCCTCAGTTTTATTGAATGTCTTCAAAATTCAGACCAAAGTTGGGTAGGGAAAAGAGACATTCAAGCAAATTAAGATACCCTTGTTTGAGCATTTCTGGATCTCTCTCTAGCAGCTTCCATTGCACTATTAAAACCATTGACATCGACAAGTAATCCCTTTTCTTCAGCCATCAGCTGATAAATAGAAAATATTAGGAAATAAAAAACATAAGGCGTGCTAACAATTCCACATAGTATTACAGTGAAGAAATCCACCTACCTGAGTGAGATCTAATGGGAATCCATATGTATCCCACAAGACAAATGCTTCCTATAATCAAGAGATAATTGTATTAGAAATTGCCCATAGACCTATTCAAAAACAGCTACGAAAAACATTAAATTAAATTATATTACAATTATGCAAAAGGGAATCAGAATCAACATTTGATAGAAGCTCAACCATGAAATACGAAATAATCAACACTAGTCCAATCATGCAGTAGCAGGGATGTGATTTTAACTGCAACTTTGTGACCAATATGACAATATTTACAATCAATATTTTTGTATAAAACATCAGAAGTTTTAATTTCATGATCTTCACGACAAACATATGGGAAACTGATGGGCCTTTAATAAAGTATCCAAGCCCATTAGTTAGGAATTAGTTATATGTAGATGTTTAGGATGTGGTTTCTCTATGATGATTGTTATTTGTAATTGGGGAATTAGGATGGGGAATTTGGAGAGGAAATAGAGAAGCTCTCAAGGCTAGGTTGTTATCTTGGAGTGGAGTTTTTCCTCTTGTTCTTTCTATGTTTATTATTACTTTTCAGCAATTTCTGTGTTTCTTAGTGTAAGGGCTATGCCCACTGTTTCTATGTCAGCCATTGTTGTAGTGTTCTGTTGTTGGATAGGAGCTGGTCTCCATTGTAATCTGTCTTTATAATCTGAATATGTATTTCATTTCATTGCAAATTGAGGTTCCATCCGAAACTTACAATCCATAGTCCCTGGCATAAGAGGAAGACACTTGCCAAAAATAAGGCAATTATTTACAACAATTAGAGAAAAATCTGTTTTTACAATTTGTTAACAATGACGTGCTTTGCTTTTTCTGTAATGGGAGATATCTTGACCTCCTTATTAGCTTTACTTTTCGTGCTTTTTTCATTAAAATATTCTGTTACTATCCACAAAATGAATTTGTTAACACTGACCTATTTATCTAGGTTATCAATCGCATGCAATAGCGCTGCTATTGCGGCATAGCATCCCCCTTCCACTAATTTTGAACAGATACGCTACGGTTTGTATAGCGGCTATGATAGCAGCCAAAATCGCAGGCTACAGTGCCGCTAAGGCAGGATAAATTCCCTCTGCCCCAACATCATTTTAAGAGGCAAAACTGAACTTTCCACCTATTTTTTCTTATGTATGTTATCATTACAACCATCTTCTCGCAAAATCCAATCGAGCTCTCTCTCTCTCTCTCTCGTCTATTCCAGCAAGCCCACCATTACATGGCTCTGTCTCCAGCCGAAGGCAATCTCTGTTCCGGCAAGATTTTTTTAACTGTTTCTCGCTCCGGCCACTTCGGGAAGCATTTATGTGGAATTCGTTTAGGCAGCTACACCACTATCACGCTATAGCAGTTTTTGGGTCTGCCGTTGTGCAATGCTCTCCAAGATTGATAAATATGTGCAGTATTTAAATCACATGACTTCATTCCAGTGTCTTTCCAAAGACAAATAACAACAAATAGCTCAATTAAATAGCAGAGCAAAAGAAAATTTCATAAATTTATTTTGAATTTTAAATATTGTCTGCATATACTTGCAAGAACCCAACTTAAGAAAAACATTTAGCTGACAAGAGTAAAAACAGTAATTAAAACAAGCAAATATGACTATTAGGTAACCATGAAAATAACAGATTCTACTTGCCTCCCCACTAAGTATCTTTCCCTGAACATGTCGAACAGCTGTCTCAAATTTCTCAATCCCCTGGAGAAGTAAAAACAGTCAGATTTTTTTATTCTTGGGCATATAACTAAAAGAAAATCACAAAAACTATCCATAGAGCGATGATAAATCATTGAGTTCACAAGAAACAAAACTAATCCGAAGGATGGCTGTCATTATGTCAAGGAGACTGATAAGTGATAATCATAAAGAAGTCTTGATAAAACGAGACTATCCTCACCTTAATTAAGGTTCTACCAAAACTTTCCTCCTCCTCTTCAATTATGTTCCTAATGTGGACTTCCTGTTGTTTTAGCTCGGTGAAAACATCACCCATCACATTCACCACAACACTTACAAGCCTGGATTCAGAAAAAAATGAGGGGAAAAAATTACAAACAGAATGTATATTCATTAATTTATATATACCAGAAATTGCCTATCAGATGACTCATAATAATGTGAAATTTTTTTAAACAAGTAAATCAACTTTGAAATAACAGGCAAATATAATTTCTAGATAACTATGACACTAGGATATGGAATCCAACACAAAAGTTTAAGATCTGGATTCTGGCAACGGAATAAAGTGGCTAACCATTATACATACCCATTGAAAAAACCCTCTTTAGCTTTTAGCACTTCACGTCCATAACGAACAGCTCGACGGAGTATACGCCTCAGAACATACTCACGGCCCTCATTACCTTCAAAAGAAGAAAACGTAACAGAATTAAGGAACGAAGTCCTTTCTCTATCATCAAAAAATATAACAGGTGGAAATCCTAATTTTAAAGAGAGACAGTTACATACTGTTCACACAGTCAAACTGATCTACAGCTTGTATCACAAACAAATAAAATTATAAAAGTCAAAAGCCTTAATAAATGGGTTAAGGGGTGCAGCCACCAACAGGGTACAACCCTGTCTCTGAAGAACAGGCCTCCCTCGATACATGGGGAAAAAAGACAGCAAACTATGACACTAGAAGTTGAAATTTGTAAATTGTAAAGGGAAAAAAAATGTGAATAAAGATACCAGGTCTACAATATCCTACCAGGACGAGACCCATCAGCAATTGCAAATGACAGAGTTCTGATGTGATCTGCAACAACCCTGTATGCCATGTCAACTTTATCTACATCATCTGGTCCGACTTTCCCAGAATATGGCCGAGCACCTGTTGCCTGCAAATGGGTTACAGGAAAACAAATAAATTATCAATATAATTATCAAGCAGTTCATAGTAACGAACATTAAATCAGAGTGCTGAACCAAAAAAAAATTTTAGAAAAAAATACAGCAAAACATTATTTCTCAACAAGAGCTCAAACATCCAATCACAGGATTTGAAAAAAGCACGTAGAAATCCACACCATGGCTCATGAAGAGTGTTGTACGTCAACTACATATATAGACAGCTAACAACTCTAAAAAAACAAGTATTCAACAATAGCAAGTAGAATTCATAATTTACTTTATGGAGATTCTCTTGAGGGCCGAAAAAATTATTTCTTAAAAGTTAAGGAGTTGTCAAAAGGTATAAAGATATCAGAAGAGGCAACTCGAGGGGATACAAAAGTTAGTTTGTCCAACAGACCTAGATTTATCAAGGTGTGCAAACAGAAAAAAAAATGGAATTTAATCTGGTTTGACCTACAGCAAACTATATGTTTATATCCATGGGAAAAAGCCAGAAAACAGGGGGGGGAAAGCACTATGACCAATGGATATTACACGAGTAACAGCTCCACACTCTACCCAAATCCCAGTCCACTTGAAATTCCTCGTTTATTTCAATTTTAATGAACTTGCAAGAGTTATACATTTAAGCATTTCACTTAAACTTCTTTATGTGAAAAGTTAATTGCTGGGGCAGACAAATTTGACAATCCTCTCTCCTCTCTCTACCATATGTACAGGCACTACCTTATAGAAGAGTGATGAGTGACACCATATTACAAGAATTTCAATTCAAATATAACAAATTCAGGACTAAATATTATTACCGTTCCAAGAACATACAGGAAATATACTTAAACCTAATAATGCCTTTACCAACATACCAGCTGAATAGCATCAAAGATAGGCAAGAAGACATCAGTGTCATAATTGCTCATTTTGTTCTGCAGTATAGAGGTCAATCGTTCAAAACCCAAGCCTGTATCAACATGCCTTGCAGGTAAAGGTTTAAGAGAGCCATCAGCTTCCCTATTGAACTGTTATGAGATAAAGAAACAGAAACATATTAGATACAGATTTCAAGGTGATTTAAAAAATTGGCAAGCTGGGCTGGATTCTCATACCAACTTATCAAGTACATGAATGTGGGAAAAAAGAATGGCAGTAAGATACTCAGTAAATC